AACGTCCAAGTGATGGACGCGCCAGTCCTTTGCTGCTGCCAAAGCAAGTAGCAAATGGACCGACTCCATACGCGCTACTGGTGCAAAGACCTCCTTGAAATTGATGCCTTCACGCGGGACAAAGCCTCGGGCGACGAGGCGCGCCTTGTACTTGACAATGGCGCCGAGCTCGTCCCTTTTGACTTTGTATACCCACTTCAGGCTGATCGGACGGCATCCTGGGGGTGGATCGATGAGCTGCCAAGTCTCCTTTTCCTCGATCGCCTTCATCTCCTCCAGCATTGCCCGTTGCCAGTTTCCATCGCGCTTGGCTAGCGCGAATGTGGGTGGTTCCTCTACACTGACGAGTAGCAGCTCTGCATCATTGAGCAGCCTACCCGTCATACCTGAGGGACCTGTGCCGCCGACGATGTCGTCCAGCCTGCGGAACCTCAACTCCTCACCTTCGTGGTAGGCGTCCACGAACTCAGTGATGTCACTTGGAGGTGAGGCGAACTCGATCGGGGGTGATGAAGTTCCTTCTTCCGCCGGAGTGCCCTGCATAGCAGCTGAAGTGCTCGGCACTGCTTCTGGACTGCTCGTCATAACTCCTGCAGTGTTCGGCCACACTGTAGGAGTGCCCAGCCTCAGTCTTGGAGTGGTCGAAACCACAGTAAGACGTCTTGGCTCCGCCATGGGAGTGCTCGGTACCCGTCCTGAAGTGGCCGCCGCCACTGTAGAACCTTCTGGCTCCACTCCTGGCGTGCTCGGCATTCCTCCAGAAGTGCTCGACACTCCTCCCCGAGTGCTCGGCATCCCTCCTGAAGTGCTCGGCACTGCCCCAGAAGTGCTCGACTCTACCGCCGGAGTGCTCGGCGCTCGTCCCGGAGTGCGTGGCACCTGTTCCGCAATGTCTCCACCACCATGGATGACCAAGTGCTCGACGACGAAGGTGTTGGTGAAGCCTCCCGCTTCCCCCGTGCTCGGACTGTGCCAGTCCCAAGCTGCCTCCTCGTTGAACACAACGTCGCGCGAGACTGTCACCTTGTCTCCGCGTGGGTCATAGAGCCGGTACGCCTTGGTACCCTCCGCGTAGCCCAGGAACACCATGGGTGTGCTCCTGTCCTCCAGCTTGGTGAGGTTCAGCTTCGTCTTCCTGATGTGGCCGATGCAACTGAATGTCCAGAGGAATGACACGTTCGGCTTGCTCCCGTATCAAGCTTTGAACGGCGTCTTGCCTGTTAGGGCTTTGGTTGGAGCGCGGTTGAGGATGAACACCACCGTGGTCACCGCCTCTCCCCAGAACTTTGTCGGCATCCCTTTGGCCTTCATCATGGATCGGGCCATGCCGACCACTGTCTGGTTCCGTCACTCCACCACGCCATTCTGTTGTGGCGAGTACGGTGTGGTGTGATGTTGCCCCACACCTTGATCCGCGCAGTACGTAGCAAACTCCACCGAAGTGAATTCGCCACCCCGATAGCCCTCGGACCATCTTCCCCAGCCGACCAAGCGCGTCGAAGCTGAGATGTCCGAACCGGGCATGCCACATCCACGGTTCCTCGGAGTGCCTTGCCGCCAGGCAAACCGGCTGCTCTACCTTCGGTCGGCGGTACAACCGATTCGAGGACCTCTCCACCTTGGCGAGAAGTCGCTGCCCGATCTCTCGATCCTCGTAACGCCGTCCTTGATCGAACCTCGCTACCGCGCGCTCATCTAGGTCGACCAATCGCGATGATCTTTGGAGCGCATTGCGGGATGTAGTATACATCCGTTAGCGCGCGGTGCTCCCCATTCTGGCATCTGAAGATGATGGTGCCGTGCCCTTGGATAGCCACCCTTGAGCCGTCACCAAACTTCACCGTACCGGTAACATCGTCGTCGAGCTCGGAGAAGGAGTCCTTGGAGCCTGTCATGTGGTTACTGGCACCAGAATCCAGATACCACCGCTGCTCCTGGTCGACGCCCACATGCCCAAGATGGACTTGGGCGCGTGGTTCGTCGAGGTTGACGGTCTTTAGGGCCTTGCTAGATCCTTCCACCGTCGTTGCCTCTTCCCTCTCCATGGCCTCGACGTCGTGTAGTGCACAGAACGTCGCCATAAGGATAGTGGCCTCATCCACATCATCGGCTTTCGCTAGGTGAGCCTGAGCCTTCTTTTCCTTCTTGCGATTTGGGCACTCTCGTGTCCAATGGCCCATCTTCTCGCAACACCGACAGGCGTTGGAGTCGATTTGCTTCTTCTCCGAAGAAGCCCTGCCGCGATGTTTGCCGTTGCCACCGCGACTGGAGGAGGCTGCCTTCCCGGAGTTTCACCGAACAGCCCACTCCTCTTTCGTCAGCAGGAGTTTCCCGCTATCCTTCGTTGCTGTCGCCTACTCCAGGCGCTCGTCCACCGCCCGTAGACGGCCTGCCACATCCTCAATGGTGAGGGTGGACAAGTCCAGCATCGTCTCTATGGAGAGAGCGATCTGGATGTACTTTGCCGGCACGGAGTGGAGGAATTTGGAGACCGCCTCCTCTTCGTCGATGGTGACGCCGTGGCTCTTGACTTTGGCGATGGCGTCTGCAGCGAGAGAAAAAGTCCTCCACTATTTCACCATCCTTGAACTTGAGGTTTGCATACTCTCGCTTGAAAGGTGGGCCGTTGCCTTCTTTGCTTGTGGTCGAAACCGGCGTGCATCGCCGCAATGGCCTCCCACGCCTCCTTAATTTGAGCTTTTTCGTCCCCAAGCGGTTCCACAGTACTCCGCGATGATGACAGCGAGGATAGCCTCCAACGCCGACATGTCGTCTTCTTCCACGTCGGTGCCCTTGTCAACAGACATTCCGAGCCGTCGGGCTCGAGCTTGACCTTCATGGTCACCGACCACTCTCCATAGTTAGTGCGAGAGTCGGCGTCGGCCAAGTGGTGCCGGCCGACCTCCCGCGCCGTCGCGGACAACTACTCTCCGGTAGTGGTGCGGGCAGCTATGACACCCTTTGCCTTCGCCATCGCCCAACTCAAACCGCTTCATCGCCGCCGCCGGTTAGAATGACGACGGCGCTTGTACGGCTCTGATACCAGTTGTTGGCCCACGGGATCACCGTCTGACGATAGTGAACTAGTCTCCGACCACTAGTCTCCCAAACCACTAGTCTCCCAGACCAGACCACTAATCTTCCAGACCAGACCACTAGTCTCTAGACCACTAGTCTCCCAGACCACTAGTCTCTCAGACCAGACCACTAATCTCCCAGACCAGACCACTAGTCTCCCAGTCCAGACCACTAGTCTCCCAGACCACTACACCGGTTCTGTCCGTACCCACACACTACGGATCGAGCTAGAAGAAGGGAGAACAGAGCAAGCACGCACAATACAAGACAACAACGTTGGCCGAAGCCCTGTCTGTGTGATGGCAAATCTGAGCTCTCTTTACTGAGTTGCCTTAGTGCCCTATTTATACAACTCTATCTATCTGACTAAAGCTACAGGTAGCACACATCTTGTATGTGATAACTAGATAAGCATCTGGGGTGACTCTGCCTGCGGCCTTTGCATGTGCCTCTGATCTTTGAGGTGAGCCATGCGGCACTGCACACCACAATAGCTCTTGTGTATTACAATGAGGAGGCAAAGTCGGCGCCGCCTTCCTCTGCTGTGTTTCACACAAGGTGGCAGTAGATTAGATAACAAAAGTAACTTCATTATACAAATAGTATAGTACATAAAGCCAGCAAAAACCTCCCCCACCCCCAAGTCTCACTTCTCTAATGTAAAGTGAAAGTACTGCATTTCTGATCTTGTACCAAAAAAATAGTCCAGAATATATTATTAATATCACAATTAGACAAAAACAATCAGGTAAGGTTAAACTGGGAGTTTTAAAATAGTTGTTTTTAGAACGAAAATATGTTATTTCCAAGAGACACTATCATAAAGTGGCAAACAATAGTTTTACCAACATGCCATTTTCTCCACACAGTTGAGTTTTAGGTGTGGGCATGGGTGTGTGAGTTGGAGTTTGTCGGAGGTGTTTCTGGGAGTGCGCCTCATGCCTCTCCCTTGTTGTTTTTACCTTTTGTTTTCTCCTATCTTAATGAAATGACACGCAGCTCTCCCACATCGTTTGAGAAAAAAAAACTAGACAAAATGGACATCAAAATGCACCTTTACATTTTCTAAGCCTCAACTCTATCATCTGAACATTAGAAATATATATGTGACAGCACTCTCGAAATGGTAGAGGATGTACATCCAAGGGTATCATTTGAAATTTATTATGCAGTTGTCTTTCACTCTATCCTTAAAGATTGTATGAATGAGTGAACTCAGTGGCACACAAACAGAATTTAACGGTAGTCTACCTTAACTTTTATAGCTGTTTGGACGAGGGTCATTTGTTCAGGAAGTTTTAGGATTTTGTTCAAATTTAAATGAAACCCTAGGATTTGAATCCAAATGCCCTCCTATTCCATCAGACCCTAACCCTAAGCATGTTCAGTATTTTTTTTAAACCTGAAAAAGAATATATGAGGCATTAATAAAATACTGGGAAACTGCTAAATTCAACACTAACAGAAATGGTTGGTATTGTCAGAGAAGTAAGTGGTTGGAAGATTTGGTGGGTCAAACTGCAAAACAGACATGGGATTGGAATGTATTAAACATTACAATTACAAACTTATTGGCACAGGAGTGATCTTCATGTAAGACTACCATAGCAGAAAATAGGCAGCAGATTTCTCAAGTAACTAGCATTTCGAGGTGCAAGGAAATGCAGCCACAGGAGCGTTTACGGTAATTAGTTCTATGAATTTTAGGTTATCCCACATAATTAACATGTAAGCAATTTCATGTATGCAAATGAACCTTCCATGATTATAAGGAAAGACAGAGTACAGAACTGATTAAGATAAAACCGAATAAGTACATGTTTGACGGAGTTTCAGAAGATTTCGTCTCTACCAGAATATAACAATATAGAGTTCATATGTACTTGATATCTGACATGCTTTACAATGACAGATGCCAACCATCATATCTTTACTTTGCCAACCCAACTCATCCCTGTGTTCTTGTACATATTTTCTTTTGATAACTCATCCCTAACCTCCTCAGCATCCCACCACATCTCTTGTGAGGCATACAAGTTTGAGAGCATAACCCTGTAAGCAGCTTTCTCTGAATTGAGTTCAAAGAGCTTTTCAGCAACAATCCTGCCGAGGCTAGAATCACGATGGACACAACAACCCCAAAGCAATGCACCCCACACACCACAATCTGGTTGTATTTGCATTGTCTGTATAAGATCGTATGCCTCCTTCAGCTGGCCAAATGTTGCAAGAAGCCTCACCATGTACACATAGTGCTCCACTTCAACAACTATCTTGAACTCATCCCTCATTCTCCTGAACAACTTCCATCCCTCCTCCAAGTGTCCCACATGACAACAAGCAGCAAGTAAAGCGGAGAAGGTAGCACTATCAGGCCTGAGCTTATCATTAACCATCTCATCTAGGACTTCAATAGCCTTAGTTGCAAACCCATGAGATCCAAGGTTTGATATGACCGTGTTGTACATGACTGAGTTCTTATTAGGTAATTGGCGGAACACCGAGTATCCAAGCTCAGTGAAACCACATTTTGCATAAGCATCCATTAGTGAAGAAGAGACTCTTATGTCCATATCTGCTCCAAGCCTGACTGCATAACAATGGACCTCCCTGGTACAACTAACAGCAGCTGTAGAAGCACATACCGAGAGAACACTAGCAATCAATATGCCGTCGGGCCTCCTACCAGTAAAACACATTTTCCGGAACAAATCAAATGACTCCTCGTACTTGCCAGTTTGCATTAGCCCAGTAATCAGTGACGACCAGGTAATCAAATCCGCATCGGGCAAGCTACCAAACAAGCTCTGTCCAGATTCCATACACCCACACCTCATGTACATCGACACAAGTGTGCTTCTCACATGGTGTCCGGAGTCATAACCCCCCTTGAGACACATTGCATGAACTGCTTGACCGAATGCAAGTATTTCCGGATTCCAGAAGCATGAGATTAAGCCAACCATTGAATACCCATCCGGCTGCTCCCCAGCTCTCCGCATTAAGGAAAACATCTGGAGACCATCATACCACATTCCTTGGTACCCGTATGCAGACATCATGGAGTTCCAAAGGACCAAGTCCGGCTCGCACAATCCATCGAACACGCTGCGAGCGTTGTCCACGAGGCCAACCTTTGCGTACCCACTGACAAGCGCGCTCAGGACAATCGGACGGGAGCACATACCGCATGATGTGGCGACACCATGGACGACCTTGACGGCATCCGGGCGCGAGGATTCGGCGCAGGCGCGGAGGACGCAGGCGAAGGTGTGCGCGTCGGGCGGAGTGGCGGAGCGGCGCATGCGGGCGAAAAGCGCGAGCGCGGCGGGGAGGTCGAGGCGGCGGGCGTGGGCGCGGATTAGGGCGTTGTAGAGGAGCGGCGAGACCGGGTGGGGAGCCTCGTCCAGCAGGCGGCGGGCGGAGGAGAGGTCTCCGCGGGCGGCATAGGAGCGGAGCACTAGGAGGCGGAGGTAGGCAGGGCCAGAGGCGGAGGAGGGGGAGGCGACGATGAGGCGCGCGTGGAGCTGCTTCGTGTGCGAGAGGGACAGAGGGAGGGCAGCGCCATTGCTGGACCCAGCGGCGGCCGCCGCGGCGAGGAACGGGAGGTTCCCGCGCATACCATGGACGCGAGGCTCACTGGCTCAAAGCATTTGTCTTTGACTTAAATTATCCTGAGGCGTGTGAACTTTTTCTTTTTTTTTTGTCAACACGTCTTTTGAAAACAGCTTCGCGTCCGAAGCTCTTTGAATCGTGCTCTCACTTAGAAATAAGGCGAGATAAAACCAAAAATAGTATTTTTTTTATAGTTTCACCTTCACACTTGTTGGCCCTATGTAGGATTATGTGAGAGCATATTTAAAGAGAATCCACATGTAGAGTTATTTTGCCGAACGGATCTTTAAAATAGGTTTAGTTTTACCGAGAAAGCTGCTCATGAAGCTGAAACCCAAAAATATAACTTCGCTGGTGAAGCTGAGCTATGCCAAACTAGGCCTAACTCAGGCCTGTTTCCTGAGCGTCAAAGGCATCGCATGCTGACCCACAACGGTGTGGACGCCATGGCAAAGCGGGAAGCCGTTGGTGGCCATATAAACATTTTAGGTGGATCCTAGGCTATGCCCTTTCGTTTTACCTTTATATTAAACTTCTGGATCCATAAACTTTTTAAGTGATTCATCACAAGTTCATACTCCTTCATTTGTGACCCTTAGATCTGATGTGGCATGTGGACTGTGGAGTCAACAGTCGGCATGACATGAAAATTGCTGAGCTCATGCTTACCCCGACCGCGCTGCCCTCATTTTCAATCCCTCAAGCTTGGCATTTGTGCCTCTGCTCTATCTCTGCTTTAGTGCTCGCATCACCATCACCGGCCACCGTACTCCTACTATCAGCGCTATTGCTCGCCTTGTGGTTCACCTCTATCCTAGAAATGAGCTCTACCGAGTCTATTTCTGTCTCCTTTATCCTTTGCGCTCGTTGGACACACAAAAACTAAGCCTATGTTGATCCGGGTAAGAAAGAAGAGGAAGATGATGACTCATGGGACCCACGCGCCACCACATCTCCATAGTGTGCCCTGCAGCCCTACGCCTCGTGTCATCAGGCATTTGTCGTGCCCCACCGTCTCCTACGCTCGTGCTGCTTGCCGGCGCTTGCTCTCATCACCTTGCATGCTCAGAGAACAGAGCAAGAACGAGAAGTGAGGGAGGAGGGGTGATGGCAAATTTCATGTCATGCTGGTCGTGGACTCAAGATGTCACATTAGATGTAAGGGCAAACGAAGTGAACCACTTAAAAAGTTTAGGACCTGGAAGTTTAAACTAAGGGCCAAAAAAAGAGATATGGACCTCTCGATGAAGCACTTAAAAGGTTTATGTAACCGGAAATCAAGTTTTATAGTTGATGGATCTATCTGAAACCATCGCATAAGCTAATGGACCTCTAGGGTATTTAAGCCGGCAGGTCCACTGGTCCACAAATATCGGCCTAGATTGGGCTGGACTTGCTACGAGCACCTAGATAGTATCTAGGCTAGATTAAATTAAATTATATATAGCTACTTTAAGATTCGTACAGAATACTCTGGGAGTACCACTGGAGCAAGTCTCGACATTACCGATACATCTTAGAAATGTTATGGCCCCGTTCGCGTGCCCTTAAACCCGGCTTGATCCGCTTCTTTTTTCATCCGGAACAGTGTTTTTGTCTCACAGATTCCTCCAGCATTCCTCCAAACCATCTAAATTCCTCCAAGCGAACAGGCCCTATATTTAAAATTGCACAAAACAACTTAAGATGCAGTACACCAGTAAAAAAACATAATATGAAATTTGACAACACTGACTTGGATTCCAAAAAAAAGCTACTAGTTCGTACAAAAATTGTAGAATGCAAAACAATAACAGTATACCTGTTCTCATATTCTAAGACTTGAGTATCAGTCTTAACTTTTATTTATTAATTTACTAGATACTAGAAATATGAAAAAACTTTTAGTTGGCCGGTCACCAGTGGTTCATCACAAGGAATCATCAACTCCAATTGGGACAAACAAGATCGACCCTGGTTTAACAAAGTCGGGATTCGTCAAGCTCGGGTTCAAGTTTAAGATATCTTGGGAAGTTGATCTGAACAGGCTTGCAATCTTAGGCAGGGTATCCTCCTCCTGCACTGCATAGGACACCACACCCTTGGATGCTGCGGAGGAACACCCACACGGCAGGTGAACTGTTACTGTGTTACCTGAAATCAGAGGGTAGCCATCACCAAAGTTCATTGCGAGCCCACTGAAGATCCCGCGATTGACTTTATCAGGTGTATCTCCTGGCTTCACCACATATCGAGTGTCATGGAAGAGAGCACTCATGGTGGCGTTGATCACCTCACACGCGCAGGGCACAGCCACCAGCACGTCCACCTCACCGGAGGGCCGCTTGATCGGCCAGAGGAGAGCCGTCGTCGACGCGGTAGCGTTGAAGACGGCGGCTATTTCGGACAGGTTACGCCCTTCCGAGGTGGCGTAAAGGAACGAGCTGCTGCATGAAGGGTTCATCGATACAGCGTCGCATTGCATGGGTTGCCATCCCGCTGCTGATGCTACGCTGGTATCAAGGCGTTGCAGAAGCAAGGCGAGGAGGAAGAAGATGAGGCCATGTTTACATGAACAACACTGGTTAGCCATAACGAGTATAGGCAAATGGAATTTGGTTCAGAGGGATCGTAATTTATTTGATACTCCATTGGCTTCTAGTGCTTGCAAGATGCTTTGGCGTTCCTCTCGGGTCTCGGCCGGCTATCATACACAGTTGGAACTAGCCGGTTTTCCTTGTTTAATCCGCTGCCCCGAAGCTTCAGAAGGTTTGGAACATACACTACTACATATAGGCTTTGCAGGGGCGGCTCATGGGTATTTGTATGGGCCGTTTGGCCAGCCGCCCCTATCAAAGCGTGGCTATAAATCGTTAATTCGTAGGAGCGGTTCCCATACTGCTCCTATAAATCGATTTGTAGGGACGGCTGGTGTTATCAGTCGTCTCTATAAATCGATTTGTAGGGACGGCTGTAGTACCAGCCGCCCCTATAATACATGTTTGTAGGAGCGGTTCAGTCTAGAATCGTCTCTACAGTACATTTTTTCAAAAAAAATTCAAATTTACAATTCAAATTCGACCAGAATATATATATATATATATATATATATATATATAATTCAAATATGACCACAAGCACAAGAGTATTATATAAACTACAATTATAAGTCCAATTTACAAAAATATATACAATCCATCATTAAATAGACATATATATATATATATATATAATTCAAATATGACTACAAGCACAAGAGTATTATATAAACTACAATTATAAGTTCAATTCACAAAAATATATACAATCCATCATTAAATAGACATAATTCACAAGTCTAATTCATTCCACTTCTCCCTCCCCTCTCTCTGGCACACGGTGCACTGGGTGAACGGGGCGACAGTGGCGCAGCAGCTCTCTCTCCTCTCTATCTTGCGGCGGCGCTCCTCGCCGGTGGCGAGCTCGCGTGTTCTCGCGCTAGGGTGGATAGGCAGCGCTGCTAGGAGGCTCTACGGCTTCGTGCGCTCACGACGAGTTCACCGGTGGGCCAAGGGTGGCACCTTGGTGGCTATGGCGCTCGGCGTAGGTGTCCCACAAGGTAAGACCAATGTTAAATTACATACACATTGTTATCAATGGTTTAATGCTAGCCTTTTAGTCTCACGAAGGTGTTCGTATTGAGGATTTCTACCTAAGTCAGAATCTCGGTCATGGTAGGTGCCTTTGACGTGTACAATCTGGTCCAATATTAAGTTGCAAAGGTCGCCGACGAGCTCTAAGAGTTGGTCATCCTTGTATGGGTCTCTTTTTATTTTTGTCTCTTCTTTCCACTACAAGAAAACAAGTTTCGGTTTAATATTTCATACCATGTGTGAAGTTTTTATACTACTGGTGAAGATGTTTAAACTTACCCTTAAGGGATGTCTCCTGTAGGCACCGGTGTTACTCATCATAAAAACATACATAGTATCCACAATGTACACTCCTAGGCTTCTGCTTGGGGCACTGTGTGTTTTGCATATGGAAATGTTAAGTAATACTTTTGACAGCCATATAATGAAGTACTAAAGTAAGTTATACTTACCGCATATAGTGTTTTATAGCCAGCCTTTCCTTCCTTACTGGATCATGTCTTCCGTGATGTTTATTGACATAGAACCTAAATGCCCTGTTCGAATTATTTTAGCAAACACAACTTTTTAGTATCTAAAAGTGAACGTTACAAGTATGTATACAAACATATAAGTTAATGAGGATTGTCGATATGTATACGTCTTGAGAATCGATATGAAGTCTTTGTATGTCACTGGGTCCCTATCTATTGAATCAAAGACCCATGACATGTTCCTCCCGACATCGACGCCTATACAAATCTAGCGGTTGCTGCATGGATTTAATCATAGAACTAGATAAGCTCTTTTGCATCGAATAAAATATATCGAACAAAGCTTTAAGTATAGAGTTGAACTTACTTGAAGTTGTATGGTAGCTATATAGTAGAGTGTTGTTGGAGATTTTTAAAAGCCAGGGCAATGTATGCCGAAACCTTAAAGGACTCTTGCCTTAGTTTCTTCGCACGGATGTCCTCTTTCTCTCGAAGGGCCTTTCTAGCAGCTAGCTCTTTGTCATCCAGTTTCCACTGTCTAGGGTAATTAAAATTTGTTTGTGCTATAGCTTGAGGGTCTATATACCTAGCTTTCAAACTTGGCATTTGTTTTACAATATGCACTTGCATTCTACAAATCATGGCGTGGGTTAGTTACAACAAAATTCAAATATTACATTCATATCATATCAGGAGGACAAGGACTTACAGGTACCACGTGTGAATTAGATTTATTTCCATTGCTCCGAGGTGAAAGCATGTCTGCATGTCATTGAAGTCAAAGATAATTTTTCCGGCTGGGCTTCCAAATGTGCCGGTGGGGAAGCATGCTTATACAAGGTCTATGCTCGTTAGGAGAACACGTAAGTATCAATCATGGAACCTTCTCATTCCAAGTGGTAGGCGTTGGATGTCCCAGTTTGGTAGGAAGGGCTTTCCTCTTTCATATGTTTTCGGGCAATTCTTTGACCATTTGATGGCATCAACATTTGGATACTGCTTTGCTGTTTGATGGAGTTTGTTAGTGACGGCCTCCTCAGAAGCTCGTGATGGGACTTTTTTAACTTGGTTCTCAGGCTTGAACTGGTCATGGGAATACCACTTGTGCACCGATGAGACGTCTTTCATCGGAACATAAATTGGTCTTATGGTGATTGGATGCTTCTTTCGAAGTTCCCATTCAGGCACGTCCTCATCTTCTTGTGCATCACCTTCTTTAGGAGGCACTCATTGGGCTATGCTTGTTGAGAAGACTATGGCATCTCATTATGCACGTGCTTGGTACGAGCTGGAGAAGGTTGTGGCTTATCAGGCACATGCTCGCTAGGAGGCGGGGAAGAATGTGGTATCTCAGGAATGTGGTGGTCACGAGACGGTGAAAATATCTCCCCGTCCTCAACAACTCGCTCCAAATTTGAGAGAGGAAGAGGAGGCGAAGAAGCAGTCAATATAATGTCCCATTTGTACCAGAGGATGAACTACCCCATTACGTCTCCGAGTAACACCAGCCCCTCAGGAGTTGCATAGTCTATCCTCCACTACATGAACTCGGGCTTCACGGTATGCACCTCGACCCTAGTGTAGTCCAGCGATATCTTATTATTGTAGTGTAAGCCACCGGGAGGATGTGCCACACCCGTTGCCACCTCCATCATAATGTTTTTTCCGGCCGCTGAGAAACACTAAGGTGCAACTAGTTGGTTCCCATATACGATCGATGGGGGTTGTGGCTGTAGTGGAACCTTGGCTGCAGTGGAACTTTCGGAGGGCTGCCAACTAAAGCCAGTTCTCTCGGCGCCGTCATTAATGTCCATGACTTCGTAGATAGTCCTTGCTCATCCAGCGCTTTCGCAACTAGAGCCTTCACTTGGAGCTCAAGATTAGCCTCCCGTTCTATGTCATGTTTCTTGTACATGTGCATGTCCTCTTCGAATCCGTGCTTCTAGGTTGTCCTTTTCCCTAGCCCCCTGGTGCGGCCTGTGTGCTCATTGTTTCCCAAGCTAAGGCTAAGTTCATCCCTCTTTCTAAAAGGATTGAATGAGCCCTTCTCCTTGTCTTCAGCATATTTCAGTATCCTTGATACTGCATCTTGGGTCTCCGGCTTATCAAATTTAAGATTACCGCCGGATGGTTTGGTACTCATCGCATATATCCAATTCCTTGAGTGTACCTTCAAATTCTTCACATTGATATTCCCAGAAGCTGTGGCTTCTTCGTCCATCTTCCTAAACTGCTCTTTCTTGGCATAGTAGCCACCGGGGCCTAGATGATGGTGGTGTTTGTTCCTCTTCACAAGCTTGGTGTTACGGGCACTGAGCTCCAATGCCTCCGGTGAAGTCTTCTAAGCCACGAGCTCCTCCCATTGACTAGGAGTTATGTTGCCGAACTCGTTGAAGGGAGTTAACCCCTTTTGGATATACTTCTTGTTGAGCTCTGACCTCCAACATCGGAATGACTCTCCCATGATCTTGAAAACATTTTTTACTAGTTCTTGCTTACCCTCTAGAAATCTAAAATTGAGCTTCAGCTACTTATCCCATAGTTCATCCTTTTTATTCTCTGGTACCTCTTTTCAGTTAGGGATTGCTGGGTTCAATTTATCTCTTACTAGGGTCCCGATCGCATTACGGAATCGTCCTCCGAATTCCTTCGGCTCAAGGATCTCCCCTGCTGGCCCGACCTTCGTTATCACATAGCATGCCTTATCTGGATATTGATTTGCTTTTCTATCACCTCGTTTCCTCTTTGGCTTGGTAGTCGTGTTCGTGGTTGTGTCTTGAGGTTGTGGAGCAGAGGCCTCAATGTCCGTCTCTGTAGCTGTTGACTCTGCTCTCCTTTCCTCTACTCCGTCTTGACCGACGAGATGTCGCGGACGTCGACGTAGTCTTTTCTAAGTTTCAAGAGGGATCTGTATATATAATAGGCCAAAGTGTTAGCAGAGGTAACATAGCCAAAGATTTAGTAAAATTTACAAGCTAAGGCTTTATCCATACCTCCTCGTTCGGGTCAAAATCCTTGTCCAAATCTTCCTCAGTTGGCCTCCTTTCTAGCTTCACGTGGGAAAGGATCCTCGGGACTTACATATCCCTCTTCTGAGTCCTCATCATCATCCTTCTCCTCTTCTTCTTCACCTTCAGCAGCCTCTCATGGTCTTCCTTCTGCTCCCCCTTCCTCCTCGTCACACTGCTTCTGACTAAGCATCACTTCTAGATCCTTTTCTAACTCGTTATCGAACTGCTCCTGAGTAATCTGGTCCTCTAGTACTTGCTCCTCATAGGTTGGCTGCTCATCATGCTCAGGGTATTGGGCTGCACTACCTGGTGTCCGCGACATTATTTCGCGCTTTGTTCTAATAGATGTAAGAAAGTGTGCTTTAGGTACGCGAGAAGGTATAAGAAATCAAAAAGGTCTATAAACCAAAGTAGTCCTATAAAACAACAATATATAAAAAAATGAGTAGTAACAGTAGTAGAGGCCTTAGAAACATG